CGGTGCGGCAGTAATCGAGGCGTAGACGACGAGGTGCTGACCCAACACCGGCTATTTCGAAACGCACATGCTAAAAGCATATAAGCACTGACTGAGAGCAAAATCAATAACTACGGAGTCTTTTATAGGTTTTTGGAACGTGCCTAAATTCCACACGTACCTTTTCAGGGAGACACAAAAGGATTCGGATCAACTGGGATCGTAACACCAGTCTTCACCAAAGGTCGACTTCGGGTGGCCTGTTCTTGGCACAAGTTTCTAGTAAGTTCTCACGCTCGAACGGCGAGAACATGACCCAAAAACTTCCTTCTCGGAAGAGGATCACACACCACCTCCTTGTCAGGGTTTCACACGAACACACGGAAAAACTAGTGAGATTTTGATTTTTGAACAGCCGCTAAAAATAGACAATGAGACGTTTTGCAAAATTGACATTAACAGAAGTGAATGGTCTTTTAATAGAAAAGAATGAGAAAACATAAACCCTCACATGGACACTGCCGGGGTGAATGTTGCTTACCATATTACCACACGCGCTGTTCACGACACGAGAACAATACGGTAGTTTCACAATAGTGCGCCACCAAGAGTATGCAACGCGTTTGGTCAGTCACAATGCGCAAAATTTGTCGACCCAATGCGCGTTTGGAAAAGGTCGACAGATTTTGCGCGTTATGACTGGCCAACGCGTTGCAAACTCTCACTATTGTGAATCGCCCGCCCGAAAAAACAGATTGTAGGATTGTGTGGCGCCAACTCTTCACGAGAGGGCGGTAGACAGATTGAGTGGCCGTAAGCCAAGTACATGTACACGTACGCTGTTGTACGCAACCTTGTTTGATTCTCGATTGCTCTTTTTACCTTACTTAGTAAGCGGCTCGAGTGGACTCACAAATACATGTGATAACTATGGTAGTGTGTCACTTTTTTCTGAGAGGCAATTGTAAGTTTGGTGATAGATGCCGCAATGAACACCCGCGGGGTGGCATAGGTATGTAGCCCAAGCCAGAGATGAAAATGTGGCGTTATAAGTTTGTAACGTTTGGTTAATCTACTTCCAGACATGCCAGAAGAACTGTACGGGTTTCACAAACATTAAAGATTACTGATAGCCATGTACAAACTCCCATAAACTCATTTTTGCTGTTGTGATTGTGCCAACTTACCCTTCCATTCACAGCTTTTTGTGCAAGCAAATTTCATACATGCCTTCTTGTTGAGGTCAAATGTCAGATTGGGAGGTTTATTCACCTTGCAAGTTGTATCCTCATTAAAATGGTGATATTCTTGAGCATTTTGCCCATCCACATTACAGAAAATCAACAGCATGTACTCTCAGTAACTGTCAGCTGTGTGATAGGTTGACCAATCACAACACAGCTCCATCTTTTCCTTTTGTTTTCCTGACCCCATTCGTTATCCAAATGAAAGCTGAGCAGTGATTGGTCATTGGGATGGAAGCAAATTGGACCAATCACAGTGTAAAGTATGGTCTATCCCCAGAAGCAGAACTGTGGGGTCCGATGTCAGTCCCGCTCCCTCGAACCCAACAGAAAACTAGCCATTTTCGCCATAGGTTCTAATGAACCAGTTTGGTATTCCAACAACACATGCCCACACTAAAGCACATTGGGGGTTATGAGCAATACGCACATGTGAGATCAGCGTTTTCAGCAGGGCATGTGTAGTCCAGGTTTTCAGGTTTAGCTCCTAGCAACTATAGGAAAAGGTGCATTTTTTTCATGCGATGCAATCACACAGCTCAAAGTACTTTTGTCATCAGGAGGAGGTTACCCTAGTTACGGAGGCGGAGGTTACCAGAGTTTTGGAGGAAGGGGCAACTTCGCCTACAGTTCCAGGGGTGATGGTAGCTATGGCAGCTACGGTCAGCAGCAGTCAAACCACAATAACCCCTATGTGTATCGCAAAGACACCAGCGGAGGCCGTAACTATGACGGGCGTAGCGATGGAAGCAACTATGATGGGTACGGAGGGGGAGGCACCTATGGCCGTTCGGGAGGCAGTCAGAATCGATTTGGTGTCTTGAGCAACCTTGGCGACCACATGCAAAATGGTGACACCAAAGAGCATGAAATACTGTAAGTGATTTGGTTGTGTGTTTCACATTCTACAGTAAAACATCCACAGCCCTGCAGTCTACAACCCTTAAAAATCCTTCCAAGTTTTTCGTCAGCTTTTTTGCTCAATAGCACACATGATTCAAAGGCTTTTGAAATGATCTGTGGTGGATCAATTATTTGAATGTTGCAACCCTATAGTAGTCAGTATCACCTCTGAGCATACATGTAATAGCAGCACAAAATTCACCATCAGTAAAACTGTAATCAATATTTTAACACACAAAAGCCAAGATTTCCTTCCTTCCTCAAAAAATAAGATTATCAAATGTTATTGCCAAATTTGCTGCTAGATTTAGCTGAGATTATTTGGTTGTGGTAAGCAGATGCATAAAATTTGGCCTTGGAGCCTTTAAATCTTACATGTACGTATGACCCTTTGCCATATATGACACTTTACAGGGACATCATCAAGCAGGACGCCAAGGAGTGGGAGGCCAGTCAGATGTGGCCACTGTCCTGCTACAAGCCGAATAAAGCCCGGAGCTATGTGCCTGGATTTGAGGACATCTCCCCAGACGAGGTCCGATACCTGGCCTACACCGCTGAAAAGGAGAACAAATTTGATCAACATGTGAGGCACCAGTCACGTGGGAATTGAACTCACCATCTGTAACCATTCCTGCCTTGAAGACCGCATTTAGTAGGCTGGATCCGGGGGATGGGGTGTTAAAACTCAAAATCCCCTGCTCGCATTTGCCTTTTCTTTTTTAGTGGCCCGTGTCTAAAGGGTGCAAGTCCACCCCCTCCCGTAGAGCATAAACCCTGTAGGGGTCTTATCTGCATGTTTGGTTAAGGACAAAAGAAAGAGATTTAATAGCTTAAACAGTAATTGTAAATACCCCTTCCCTATAGAAATATTGACACCCGCCCAACAACAAAATCCTGAATCTACCCCTGATTAGGGTTTAAGTTCTCGATAGACTGAGCAGCTTAAACATATCTGCCAAAACGTATACTTGCAGACAGGGTGTTTTTGCTAGTGCATACATGTTTGTTATAGTGACTGGTGGACCAGGAACAGTGTGGGAGATCACAGAATCGCCAATTGACCCCCCCCCGGCCTGTGAAAATTCTTGGATCAACCAGACCATGTAGGGAAACTTACAAGGGGGTTAGATATTAAGTATAAAGATGAACAAAGAAATTGACCGAATGCAGGATTTGAACCCGTGACCACTGGAACATCATACCACTGCTCTACCAGCTGAGCTACCCAGCCCTGTGTTAATGGTTCTTCCCATTTATCAATATCTGTGTTAGGGGTGCTGTCGTCTGAAACACCACATGGGCAGGCGATCACGCCCAAAACAGCCCTGGTGCAGTGTGCCAGAGGTAAAGGGTTCAAATCCCATTCCAGAGGAAACATTTGCTCAACTTAGTTACATAACAGTGGAACTCTCTATACATGCACAAACATGCCAAGCACAGCCATGCAATAGTGTTTGTGGTTAGCAACATTTGTTCGCAATAGTAAGCATGACTTGTCTAGTAACTGTTGAGTAGATCCATGAAATTGGACCCTGGGCTTGATGCCATCTGACATCAGATGGTTCTGTTCATGGTGATCTTGTTTACTGATAGTTCCACTTTTTTCCAACACAAGAACGGCAGCGCAACAGATACGAATATCTGAGGTAGGAGTAACTTTGGTTGTGGTCATAGTTCTTGGCACAAGTTTACTTTTTGTGAACTCATGCTGCCTAATTGCACTTTTCGTATTTTTCCTCTGTTTCAGAAAGCAACTTTTGCAGCTGTTCTTAACATTTACAAAAGTCAGCGGGATGTGATGCAGAACCCATCTCGAGACTTAAAAACCCGACTGGTAAGTTACTATGGTGATGAGTTAGTCATCCAAAAGCAATTTTTTAGCAGGTCTCCGGTTCAGCCAATTCTCATGAATTTTTGGCTTATCTGCTTTTTTACCATTAATTTAAATGTATGACTAAAATTTGTCGCGCTGGTGCAAAATGCAACACGCTAAGCACCAATCTATTTTTTTTGTCTGTCCATATTTTGGTACACATAATTTCAATTCAGTGCACTTGATGAAACTCTTTTGAGGAGCTGCAAACAAATGGGGCATTCCATGAAGTTGGATTCATCATAGTGTGATATGTACATGTATTTGTGAATGGAATTAATGGGGTCCCTTATGTCAGAATAACTGAACTGTTCTGGGATGTTTCAGAGCATTTTGAAATTTTCCAGTATGATGTCTTTAGGAAAGATGGTTTCATACAAGTATACGGTGTGGACACCACACCATTTTCAATTATTTTGTTGATGAAGGAAGCAACAGATAGCAGTAGCCCCCCCAAAAAGGACACAGCATACCAATCCCTACTAACCTATTACATTTTTGAACACACTAATGCAATCTATATTTGGTTTTTAAAAAATTCACTAGCCATCTTCAGCTTAGCCAAATTTCTAGTTGATCATCTTGTTGGAAAGATAGCGCCTTGCCCCACTAAAAATTAATTATTTGAAGTCAGTTACTGAACGTTTGCAGCATATGCGACCGAGATCTGACTTTGTCAGTGCTTAAATTCATGAAAACTGTAGGTCGCCATTGTTTTTACAGAGAATATTAGGCATTAACTCCATTTTGAGCCAGACATCACCAGTGGCGGTTCTAGAGTCAATTTTTATTTGGTGGGAATGGGTAGACCCTTCGCATGTGACGTCACCCTTTAACATACACTACTGCTCTTTCACTTCGGAAGAAAAAAAAATCTAATGTGTATTGCAAATAATGACCGTGCAAAATGATCGTGGCCTATTCATTTAGTTTAAAATCATTAATGCAGACTTGCTAATCCAATATTTTCCAGCATTTTTTTTCCTCCATGGGGGGAACTAGACGAAAATTTAGGATGGCTAAAACAACCTAGACCGTCCCTTGGAACCGCCGCAAAAAGTGTGGAATGGTCTTGAAGCAAAATTAATGACACTTTTTCCTTACTTATGAATGAAAAACACGCAGTTAGTGTAATTTTTCAAATACATTGCAGATAAATGCATTCAGAGGTGCTCCAACATCAAGCTCTGTCTTTGGCAATACAGACTCACCCGTGGAATTAATGTATGGCAACAGGTAAGTCATGCTAAAATGACTTTGGGATCTTATGGAATTCAACAGAATTCTACAACCAACAATGGCAAAGTGTAAAGTTTAGTGCCATCAGCATAACCTAACAGAATTCAGTTGTTTAGTCCATGAAGATAAATCTGAATCAGACTCCAACAGGCAATTCCATGATAAACCATGAACTAAATCCATCAGAATCCAACAGCTAAATTCATTGAAATGGAACAGAACCCAAAAGCTTAATTCATCAGAGTCCAGCTTCTGATGTATCATCAAAATCCAACAGCTTAATGCAACGCAATTTTAACAACCGAATCCAACAATATCTAACATCTGAATTCCCAAGAATCCAACAGGTAGCATAGTACTGAAGGTAATTTCACTGCTCAGAACCAGATTGCTATAGAATCTGACGATATTCAGCAGGGTTTATGCATGCAGGTGGCATTCCATGAAAGAAAATTGCTTAGAATTGAGATTAAGATGCTGTCATATGTTTGCCTGTCAAAGATCGATGAAGAAATTGGATTCGTCCAAGAGCCATAACCTAAAATGGACGTCATTTGGTTGTCACTTGATTAGGCAACGTATGCACAGTCTAGCGATGTTGCTAGATGGAGCCTTGGTCCCCATCCTGCTTCACTCTTGCTGAATCTTTCTACTTATTTTCTTAGTACTGTATCAGGTGGAAGTGGCCAAGCATTTGGAGGTAGTGGCTTTGGAAGTGCTTCAACTGGCTTTGGGTCTATGCCTGCCTCATCTGACACTTCAGGCTTTGGGGGCAGCACCATGGGGAAAACCTTCACTGGAAACTTTGGGATCCAGCCATCGCAAGGACAGGCGGGAGGCAGCGCAAGCACCGGGCTCTTTGGCAAACAGGTCGCAACTGGGTCCACGGGAACCAGACTGTTTGGCAAGCCGGCACCAACTGGGAGCCAGACTGGACTCTTTGGCAATCAAGCCTCAAGTGGGACAACGGGAGCTGGACTCTTTGGCAAGCCAGCTACAATTGGAGTAAATGATACCGGTGGCAGCGGTGGGATAGTTGGAGCTGGGGGAAGCAGCAGCCAAGTGGGGCTGTTTGGAAAGCCACCAGCATCTGGAACATCTGGGAATTCTCAGCCAAGCTCCTTTGGGATGACACAGGTTGATTTTAGAAGCCCTCAGGGTAGCTCTTGGGGCACAGGAGCCCCCACAAGCCCCCAAACAAGCACTTATACCCCTCTCAATGAACTCACAGCCGAGGAGAAGGAGCAGTTTAAGGCCCAGTCCTTCATGTTGGGGAAAGTACCAACAAGACCACCCCCTATAGAGTTGTGTAGGTGATAGATAATAGTCTCATTCATGAACATGTACACCATGTTGTCGCCGTAATTGATCAGAGAAACTATGCGACTGTGAAAACTTAAAGAGGTGTAAATTTTCCTGTCATAAGTCAAACAACAGATAGGCCCCCTATTGCTTTTTTTCAGCAATAACAGAAGTACAACAGACCTACACATATACTGGCTGTAAATTTGTGTAGTCTTTTTTAACACCACAAAAACCACCTGTATTTGTCACAGATTAAATAAATTCCCAAAGGGGATTCATCTTTTTCCAGGGGGGTTGCCATTTTAAATTATGTGATTTCATTCATGAATCTTATCGGTTAACCTAAGCAACATGTACTGCGAAATTGGGTCACTGCCCGCACACCTTTTGTGCTTTGGCATGAGATAGGATTCAGAATTGATTTCAAAATACCAAACAAGTGTAATGTCTTCACCCTGTGTATAGTCAAGTGTTTTTATTGCAGACATCTCTGATTTGTACATCCAATGATCCAGTAAACCAGTGAAATCTGAACAGGTGTAGGATGGGCTTCATCTGAGAATTTTTTCACCTCACGTGACATAACTCAGTGATTTGAGTGTGTCAGGAATTTTCCTTTGGAGCCAATTTAACGGGGCTTCACGAGTGGTCCAGTTATTTTTTCAGAAGCCCCAACACAAAAAAAGACACAAAACGAACAAACACAGTGTGTTAAGAGTCCTTGTGACAAGACCTGTTTCTGTTTGTGAACATGAAAGAAACTGCTGACTGTAGTCCTGCTATCTCTGGAAAAATGCTGAAGACTCCTCCAGTCAGGTTTTTCCTCATTTAGAAGCTTACAAATTGTACACCAGGGAAGGGGAGGGGATAAGGGTGAGAGTATATGTGACCGGCTCTACAAAAATGGGTATTATGGGACAGCTTTTTCAAATGAGTTGGATACTCATTTGAAATGGAAACATTAATTCGATGTACCGGCAGGTTTGACCCTGTGGCATTTTGCAATCCAGAGATGTGCTGATTTTTGCATAATCATATCATACACATTATAAGTGCTTTCAGAGATAAAGCCCTTTAACCACAGGAAGTGGAAAAAGAAATCAGCAAAGAAGAAAGTCTCTTGAATATCCATAGCAACAGTTAGGTTTCTTGTATGAATTGTGTTGATACAATAGAAGTGTTGATACAATAGAAGCCATTTAACCAAGAAGTTAAAAAACACCCTCTCCACACAGAAAACCCCTTCCTGGAAATGGCACAGCATTCCTCAATACCCTTTTTCGCAGAGCGGGTCACATACATGTGTACATCCTCAGAAATGTAACAAAATGATAATAAAACCCAGACCAAAGTTTTAATTTTCCTTTTTCGGTTTGTACGACTCTAGGAGGGAGGAGGGAGGAGACGGTAGAAGGCACTGTATGCTGGTGAAAGAGATGGGAAAAAATGGAAGGCCTTTTATGTTGTCTGACTGACTGACTGACTGTCTGACTGACTGGCTGTCTGACTGACTGACTGACTGATAATAGCCTCATACAGTCCCACTTTGTTGCAAGGGTGAACGTTTGTTTATCAACCCATTACACAAAAACCACACCAGTTCAATAGCTGTACTTCAGGAAAATTGGTATATTTTACATCTTCATGAATAAAATATTGACAAATTATTGAACTCTCCATGCTTTTGCAAGAACGTTTTGCATTGACTAGCTTGTACATGTAACTGACGTGTTAAAAGATACAGCTTTTTGGTAGTGTAAAATATAGTACATACATGTAACTGTACATTTACTGTCATAGTACTTACAGGAAGAGGGGAAGCATTAAGGAAAGCAATATAATGTCAACAAACCTGAAACAAAGTCCCCTGATTTCTACAAAAAAGTAGCAATAATGTGATGCTTACGATAAAATGATGTTTTCCCAAGTTGGCAGCTTGTTCATATCCCAAAATAAGCACACTACTCCCAGCTGAAGGAGATACCAAGTGTCCAATACGTGTAATGGAATTGTTGAAGTCTTTTGACTGCCTGTACACTATGAACATGCAAACTTTTCTGCCTTGGAATTGAACTGTGAAGTTTGTATTGGTTGAGTGTTATTTACACCACGTACATACACAGAAGTTCACCCGTCATTATTAAATAGAACCTGTGGAATACATCCCAGATGAATCCCAGGAAATCTCCTCTGTCATGATTAAGACTTTGAATAGTGTCATTAATAAGGGAATAGATATGTGCTTGGCCAGTCTTAAACATGCATTTAAGACCAGCTCAGGAGAATGGACGCGACTAATGCCCGAGGCGTAGGCGAGGGCACTATCAGTGTTTGTTCTCCTGAGCAGTTTAAGACCGGCCAGGCACATATTTATTCCTATTCATAAATATCTTTTTATTCGGAGAATCAAAAGAAGTCAACATATAATGGATTTCCAACAATTCTGTTCAAAAACCTTACTTTCATTTTCCCGAACACCCCCCCGTCCATTTTATGGTATATTCCTTTTGAAAGTTGTCCAATAGAATCCCCTTCAATAAGTTTAGTGCATTGTTTGCACACAGACTCCTGGCCAATCATCAGACCTGTCTTGTATCCAGGCGCCAGCGCATGACTTACACAGCCGGCATTGTCACTTCTCAGCGTGCATTATCAAATGTTAATACACGGTCATGTGATGTGTTTTGACCAATAGGAATAGAAAAACTGTCCCAGGTACTTATGAATGTTGCTTCCTACATTGTTTTGATGGTATCTAACCCTACACATTGGCAGGTGTGCACAACAGTGTAGATATCAATATTAACTCCTAAAGTATTGACATTCAAAATGAAATTTCAAATTTGATAAAATTCACCAAATGTTCAAAGGCTGACTAGTAGATTCTAATTAAAATACCGAGGTAGAATATAGTTACTTGTTTTACCACTTGCTGCCGGGGGCAGTTATCAATGTTGATGATGCTGGTCCGGGATAATTATCATTTTTTCCGTTTTCGAAATTCTTTAAAAATTCCTATCTTCATTTACTCGACACTTGCACCCACACGAAGAACTGTCTAGTCTCCACTCTAGCCTGACAGACGGAATCTATTGACGCCCGAGTATTTCAGCCAGGCCTGCAGACTTGTAAAAAGAGCCCAGATTGTGCAGTGTTAGCTAACTTTCTTTTGTTCACAGACCTGTCACAGTGCGCCGCTGACCTCTTTTCAATAGGGGCCAGATTAGCATACAGTGGTGCTGTGTGGCTCATCACTGCAGTGGTGGAGTGCTTTTGTCCCCGGTGGTAATCCGCTTGCTCTAAATGCCCCAAATCATGGTATACTGTTTCAAAACAAGGCCGGGTTATCCTGATAATAAAAATGTTGATAATGCCCAGCAACCTGGTCTTTTGTTCGGAGTATGATCTTTCATTACAGGGCCCAGTTCCCTTTGTCTGATTTCGGAGATCCAAGCCATGCATATAAAGCATACGTCTCCGGATCTGGAATCCCTGGCAGGAAGTGGTTAAAAGTATTTCCTTATGAGGTTATGTGAAAATATGCAGGGAGGCGAAGAGAAGGGCATGGGACTATTCCCCTTCCTTGTTCAGTAACCTCTACAATTAGGCAAACCAGCATGTCACTATGGTAACGGCTATCTGCTGTGGCTTCTCAAGGAGAAAATCAAAGCCGTAGTCACAAAACAGTCGATTTGGACACAGCCTTAGCACCACTGTAACAAATTCAGCAAGAATCACACCTAATTCTTTTGATACCACTCGAAGAAACCATACATCACACTGGACCACACACATGCCAGGGAGTGGTCTTACAAGGCCTCTGGTTTGGCCATTCCCATAGACCACATGCTGGCAATAGTTTTTAACGTTCCACGCTGCTGTACACTGTGGTATTGGATACAATGAAATGTGAGCTGATTTAACCACTTCCTGCTGGGGACTCTGGGATCGGAGACGTATGGTTTATACGGGTGGCCGGGGTCTCTGAGCTCGGACAAAGGAAACAGGGCCCCGTAACAAAAGACCGTACTCCGAACAAAAGACCAGGCTGCTTGGCATGACCGGCATTTTTCACTCTCAAAAGTGGTGATAATCCAGCCTTATTTTGAAACCGTATACCAGGGTTTGGGGTATTTAGAGCAAGCGGATTACCACCGGGGACAAAAGCACTCCACCACTGCAGTGATGAGCAACACAG